GGGGACAGACATAAACCTACAGTCACCTCCAGTAGTACTGGTGGGGACAGACATAAACCTACAGTCCTCTCCAGTAGTACTGGTGGGGACAGACATAAACCTACAGTCACCTCCAGTAGTACTGGTGGGGACAGACACAAACCTACAGTCACCTCCAGTAGTACTAGTAGGGACAGACACAAACCTACAGTCCTCTCCAGTAGTACTGGTGGGGACAGACATAAACCTACAGTCCTCTCCAGTAATACTAGTGGGGACAGACACAAACCTACAGTCACCTCCAGTAGTAGTGGTGGGGACAGACATAAACCTACAGTCCTCTCCAGTAGTACTGGTGTGGACAGACATAAACCTACAGTCACCTCCAGTAGTACTGGTAGGGACAGACACAAACCTACAGTCACCTCCAGTGGTACTGGTAGGGACAGACACAAACCTACAGTCCTCTCCAGTGGTACTAGTAGGGACAGACACAAACCTACAGTCCTCTCCAGTAGTACTGGTGGGGACAGACACAAACCTACAGTCCTCTCCAGTAGTAGTGGTGGGGACAGACATAAACCTACAGTCACCTCCAGTAGTACAGGTGGGGACTGACACAAACCTACAGTCCTCTCCAGTAGTACTGGTGGGGACAGACACAAACCTACAGTCCTCTCCAGTAGTACTGGTGGGGACTGACACAAACCTACAGTCCTCTCCAGTAGTACTGGTGGGGACAGACATAAACCTACAGTCACCTCCAGTAGTACTGGTGGGGACAGACATAAACCTACAGTCACCTCCAGTAGTACTGGTGGGGACAGACACAAACCTACAGTCACCTCCAGTAGTACTGGTGAGGACTGACAAAAACCTACAGTCCTCTCCAGTAGTACTGGTGGGGACAGACACATACCTACAGTCACCCTCCAGTAGTACTGGTGTCCTCTCCAGGACAGACACAAACCTACAGTCACCTCCGACTGACAAAAACCTACAGTCCTCTCCAGTAGTACTGGTGGGGACAGACACATACCTACAGTCACCTCCAGTAGTACCGGTGGGGACTGACACAGAGCTACAGTCCTCTCCAGTAGTACTGGTGGGAACAGACACAAACCTACAGTCACCTCCAGCAGTACTGGTGTAGGACAGACACAAAACTACAGTCACCTCCAGTGGTACTAGTAGGGACAGACACAAACCTACAGTCCTCTCCAGTAGAACTGGTGTAGGACAGACATAAACCTACAGTCACTTCCAGTAGTACTAGTGGGGACAGACACAAACCTATAGTCACCTCCAGTAGTACTGGTGGGGACAGTCACAAACCTACAGTCACCTCCAGTGGTACTAGTAGGGAGAGACACAAACCTACAGTCCTCTCCAGTAGAACTGGTGTACTGGTGTAGGTGTAGGACAGACAAAAACATACGGTCCTATCCAGTAGTACAGTCACCTCCAGTAGTGTTGGGGACAGACACAAACATATAGTCCTCTCCAGTAGTACTGGTGGGGACAGACACAAACCTACAGTCCTCTCCAGTAGTACTGGTAGGGACTGACACAAACCTACAGTCCTCTCCAGTAGTACTGGTGGGAACAGACACAAACCTACAGTCCTCTCCAGTAGTACTGGTGTAGGACAGACACAAACCTACAGTCCTCTCCAGTAGTAGTGACAGACACAAACTTACAGTACCTCCAGTAGTAGGGACAGACACAAACCTACAGTCCTCTCCAGTAGTACCTCCAGTGGTGGGGACAGACACAAACCTACAGTCCTCTCCAGTAGTACTGTTGGGGTCCTCTCCAGTAGTACTGGTGGTAGTCCAGTAGTACTGGGACAGTCACCTCCAGTAGTACTGGTGGTGACAGACACTAACCAGTCACCTCCAGTAGTACTAGTGGGGACAGACATAAACCTACAGTCACCTCCAGTAGTACTGGTGGGGACAGACATAAACCTACAGTCACCTCCAGTAGTACCGGTGGGGACTGACACAGAGCTACAGTCCTCTCCAGTAGTACTGGTGGGAACAGACACAAACCTACAGTCCTCTCCAGTAGTACTGGTGGGTACAGTCACAAACCTACAGTTCTCTCCAGTAGTACTGGTGGGGACAGACATAAACCTACAGTCACCTCCAGTAGTACTGGTGGGGACTGACACAAATCTACAGTCACCTCCAGTGGTACTGGTGGAGACAGACACAAACCTACAGTCCTCTCCAGTAGTACTGTTGGGGACAGACACAATCCTACATTCCTCTCCAGTAGTACTGGTAGGGACTGACACAAACATATAGTCCTCTCCAGTAGTACTGGTGGGGACAGACATAAACCCACAGTCACCTCCAGTAGTACTGGTGAGGACTGACAAAAACCTACAGTCCTCTCCAGTAGTACTGATGGGGACAGACACATACCTACAGCCACCTCCAGTAGTACTGGTGGGGACTGACACAGAGCTACAGTCCTCTCCAGTAGTACTGGTGGGAACAGACACAAACCTACAGTCACCTCCAGTAGTACTGGTGTAGGACAGACACAAAACTACAGTCACCTCCAGTGGTACTAGTAGGGACAGACACAAACCTACAGTCCTCTCCAGTGGTACTAGTAGGGACAGACCCAAACCTACAGTCCTCTCCAGTAGTAGTGGTGGGGACAGACATAAACCTACAGTCCTCTCCAGTAGTACTGGTGGTGACAGACATAAACCTACAGTCCTCTCCAGTAGTACTGGTGGGGATTGACACAAACCTACAGTCACCTCCAGTGGTACTGGTAGGGACAGACACAAACCTACAGTCCTCTCCAGTAGAACTGGTGTAGGACAGACACAAAACTACAGTCCTCTCCAGTAGTACTGGTGTAGGACAGACAAAAACATACGGTCCTATCCAGTAGTACTGTTGGGGACAGACACAAACATATAGTCCTCTCCAGTAGTACTGGTGGGGACAGACACAAACCTACAGTCCTCTCCAGTAGTACTGGTAGGGACTGACACAAACCTACAGTCCTCTCCAGTAGTACTGGTGGGAACAGACACAAACCTACAGTCCTCTCCAGTAGTACTGGTGTAGGACAGACCCAAACCTACAGTCCTCTCCAGTAGTACTGGTGGTGACAGACACAAACTTACAGTCACCTCCAGTAGTACTGGTGGGAACAGACACAAACCCACAGTCACCTCCAATAGTACTGGTGGAGACTGACACAAATCTACAGTCACCTCCAGTGGTACTGGTGGAGACAGACACAAACCTACAGTCCTCTCCAGTAGTACTGTTGGGGACAGACACAATCCTACATTCCTCTCCAGTAGTACTGGTAGGGACTGACACAAACATATAGTCCTCTCCAGTAGTACTGGTGGGGACAGACATAAACCCACAGTCACCTCCAGTAGTACTGGTGGTGACAGACACTAACCTAAAGTCACCATCAGTAGTACTGGTGGGGACAGACACTAACCTACAGTCACCTCCAGTAGTACTGGTGGTGACAGACACTAACCTAAAGTCACCATCAGTAGTACTGGTGGGGACAGACACTAACCTACAGTCACCTCCAGTAGTACTGGTGGGGACAGACACTAGCCTACAGTCACCTCCAGTAGTACTGGTGGGGACAGACACTAGCCTACAGTCCCCTTCAATAGTAAGAATTCATTGAAGAATTCCCATGAATACAAATATTTTTGACTATACACTCCACTATAATATCACATTAGCAATGACAAAGATCATACAGATTCTGGATCAATTCTCAGATCAGTTTTTGGTTATCATTTTAGAGTGAAAATTACAGAAAGTGATATTGCTACGGTAGAAACTTCATTTCACATTATCTGCTTTTAAGGTGGAAATCTTGTAAAGTTCTGTTGTTTCTTAAAGTGGCATTGAAACGACAAGATAGTACAAGTTAAATAAATATGACAACAGTAAAGGGATTTCCCAACATTTGATATATTTCCTATATACTGAGCTGGAATATATCTTACACAAAATATCAATAATAATATTGATATAAATTAACATGGGGAGTATGAAGCACCATAACTATGGAGGAGGGGACATAACTCTAGTTGATAGGTAGTTCAGTTTTATTAATAAATTGAAGAAACATTGTAAAAACAGGTATGTGTTCTTTCTATAATTATTTTCACAAGGTTCAGAGTCATTCTTTTCACAAACTCTGTAGCGCTTAGTGCCAACAGGTCAAAGGGCAAATGTTATAAATCTAGAGCTTTAGCTTAATCACCAGAAGATTCCCTACTTTGTTCGGTATATTTCATCACATTTTTCCCACTTTGATGATGAATATTGAATTTCCTCCAGAGCTCAATAGTAAAATATCCATATCCAATGAGAAACCATTCTTAAGAAGGAGCTGGTTGACAAAAATTGAAAGAATTTCATCCGGAACCTAATGGTGAAATATCCAACGAGAAACCATTCTTAAGGAGTTTGTTGAAAAAAGGTGAAGGAATTTCATCCAGAACCTAATGGTGAAATATCCAATGAGAAACCATTTTTAAGAAGGAGTTTGTTGGAAAAAGTTGAAGGAATTTCATCCAGAACCAAATTGTGAAATACCCAATGAGAAACCATTTTTAAGAAGGAGTTGGTTGCAAAATTGAACAACCACTGAGTGATGGACTATATATGCCTCAGGGTAGCATAACCAGACTTAATCCTTCAACCTAGTAATGTGATATACACGTAAAGGTGGCTTTTGTCTCTGATGATGGAATTTTTGTGGCCTGTTTCTTGTGGCTTTGACAAAAGCTTGAAGAAAACAGAAGTCATCATTCAAACTATGGTTTTTTTTCTGAATATTTTCATTTTCAATGTTTCTTTTTCAATTGTTTATCACATCTTTGAAAATATGGAAGAGAATACATTGTAAATATCACTACAAAGGAAGTGGTTTTGGTTGCTTTAACATATATTGAATAAAACATGCACCAAACTACGGGTATATTTAAATATTACAGCAGTACTTACATTCTTTGGTATTTACTCCGTTCTTCTTCAGATACAGATGGCTTTGTTTTGGTCAAAGCGGTCATCAGGTGTGCCCGACTGATCTGGACCATGGGAGACTTTGAGGTGGCTACAGGTGAGAACAATGTTTCTGCTGTGCTGACACGCTCTAGTGACTTGTTCACTTTCAGTCTTGCCTTGATTTGATCCACCTGATTCAAATACAAAGTCAAACAAACGTTTATCTTAATAAACTTTTTTTAACGTTCAACAGCATTTTATCATTGATACTACATGTACATGACATATCAATAGAGATCACATGCTACCTGTTCCACATAGGTGATAGAACATGAGCAAAGGTAGACAACTCTTATAGACAAATATGTCTAAGGAGAGTCATCTATGGACAAACAGGTTTGTCGGCACAGTAAGTTTAACGTTTCAATACAGGCCCCAGAAGGCTCAGTCAAACCTCATCAGAAAGCCAGATAAGATCAACAGGTTTTCCCTTATGTCATAAACAAACAATGATATAAATTTCCAAAAGTACAACTTTAAACTTCCCTACCTCACCTATCTTTGATAATGGACTCTCCAAGTCTGTTTGTCAACACAAGGTAACCAGTACTAAGAAAATTTGCTATCATACTTAAGTTCTAGTGACTAATGAGAGCTAATACATAGCAAAGTCAATACAAGTAACCTACTACACTGCGTTTATATTACATTCAGAAAATTTCACTTATCTTGTCCCAAAGAGTCCTAGCTTCATGTATCACCAATGTTTGGCTCATTTCCTCATTACTTCTGTTAATAGTTAATTTCTACCGTTTATGTAAAATGAAGTGTCAATCTGTATATATATCTAAGTGATCACATCATCCCTTCGAAATTATCAGTGATCCTAAATCTTTGTACATCTTCAATAATTGGTCAATGTTATTTTTTTTCTGACGAGAATACCAAAGCTACTTCTGAAAAGTAAACAGCATTTTTTATCCTTCAAGTAATCTGTTACAAAATGTAAGAAATGCCAACATAAATGTATTTTCAACTAACAAAACAATTTCTAAATAAACAGCATTGCCAAAATACTGATATTTAAACAGGAAATAGTGTCTTTTTCTAAAATGTTATTCCTTAAAACTCTGTAAAGTAATATTTAACCTAACCAGCAACCCTCAAACCAAATATCAGTATCCTAGTACACTTATAAAGGAGTTTACTGGTGCCTTGCATAAAAATCTTTTGGAAACTACCGCTGACACCAACAACGATACTCGGGTGACAACATAAGCTCTCCATCTCTTGGAGAAGTGAGATAATATAAACAAAAACAATGAAGTTAAACAGTATTGGACAATTTGGGAATCTTCATACTACATGTCATATAATATTACAGCATGGACAAGGAAACTACATGTAAATAGAAATTACATTTAAGCCAAGATCATAACCTATAAGGGTGACAATAGTTTGATAGATAGAGCATTGCAGCAAACGTAAACCCAGATGGAGATTCGAAGCCTACAGGAAGCTGAGATCACACAATGTCATGCTCTATCCTCAATACATCCTTCAGCTAGACACTTTTCCTTGATATCTATGAACAGCATACAATCGGCCTCTAAAATCATGTTCTGAGAAGTAACTCCAAGCTGCTACAAGGATACCTTCCATGCATGACGTTGGCTGTTGTCAGGGTAATGAACTCGGTGAACATACATATCTATCTGAGAAACCTTGTTGTTTGAATGTGTGCCTACGCAGCTCCATTCTCCTAATATTTAATAATGTTAACAAACAAACCTGGAAATTTAGCTTCTCTTCCATTTCCTCGCTGACGTCTGCTATACCTTCCTCGAGTTTGGGTATATATGTCACTAGAGAGCTCCAAGATGGCCGTCTGTCCCGCAACGCAACACGAGAAATCTGAAGGTCAATCTTTTTATGATGAGCGTCTAGTTGTGACCGCAAAGCCGAGTCACTTTTCATTTTCTTTGGTGACGATCCTTGACTATCTCCTTTTACTAAACGGCCTGTAATTTCATGTATGGCTTCAAGCTGTGCATTATAAAGAAGAGCTTTCAAATCTGCCCCAGAGAAATGTTCACATTCATCGGCAAAAAACTGTAGATTTACATCTGAACTGAGAGTAATATTCCTTGTCAAAGCCTGTAATATCTTCAATCTTTCTTCCTGTGTAAACAAAAACCAAGGAAATATACTGAATTTGTGACACATAATTAGGAGGTCTTCTCTCTTACATCATTTTTTAAACTTTGCTTCATTTAAACACCAGTTTTCAATAAAAATAATTTTGGGGGAAAAATGATCAAAATATCAATCAATTATAGCAAAAGACACCATTGATCAACACCTTTAAATTATTACCAAGACACTAAATAATTATTAACTGTCCTTTGATTAATCTGGTCTAAACAGGCAGCAAGATGAAATCGACATTCACAAAGATGTAACTTTTTATCTTTTTGAATATCAAATCATATTGTATTTACGTAACTGTAAGTCCTTGGTGCTAACCACTGACATCTCATACAAAGTCTGTGGGTGGACTTATTAGAGGATAATGAATCTGTTTGTAATTATTCGACACAGCCAATTACCTAGTATGACCTTATTGTAGGATAAATATGGTTATTATTGACAGTACATCAATCCTACCTTATTGGGTAGCTGGCACTGAAGACATTTGTCTAGACGTCCAGGCCGAAGGAGAGCTGGGTCAATGAGGTCAGGACGACTTGTCGCAGCCAGTACATATACACCTAAATGTCATGGAAATGTAACAAAGTTTTTACATGTCATTGTCAATATACAAATATATTAATATATATAGATGTAACTTAAAAATGCTTTGTGTATCAATAAGATATTTGAAAAGAATGAAATCAACACAGCAAACGTATTCCGCTAACGTTGTTCATTGCCTCCTTTTCCGCACGTGTTATATTTTGTCGGTTGTTGTCAGAGGTTTGAATCAGATCCGAAAATGTTTCAATGTATTTTTCTAGGTGAGGGCCCCTGCCCTTTGGAGGCGTGAAGTTTGATTTATTTCTGATAAGCGAGTCATCCTGAACATAATCCTTATCGGAATACATTTGCCGTGTTGATTTCATTTTTTTCAAATTTATATATATATATAAATTTGATGTCACCAAAACTTCAGTAAAACTCATCCCTACATTATTAGTATAGGTGTCAAACATTAGCTTATCCTGACAGTCCTAGAAAAGTACCTGTCTACTAGTACAGGTAGCAGAAAAGATTTTGTCTGGAAAATTTCAGCATCAAATATCACATTTGTATATATCTTGTGTGTCTACTGATATATAAGTACACATTGAGAGATGTGTGTATCATATATCTTGTATGCCTCTACTCTCTAAGAAATTGTTTCTTTTATCCAATATCTGTCTAGTATCCAGTGTTTGTACATGGCAGTATTGAGTGTCTAGTATATATTGTATTTTTGTCCAGTATTGTAAAGTCAACATCATCAGAGGTCCTACCTTCCAATCCTTCAACACCATCTAATTGGGTCAGAAGTTGGTTAACCACTCGGTCAGTCACGCCTGTGTTGTCATGGCCACGCCTATAAACAATGTTGAGATAAATTACCAATTTAGAAAGCTCATTACCCCTACAAACATTTACAGAAATAACTTGTAATCAATTCGCAACACAAGTTGAGTGTGACGGATCACAGTTGTGTGACAGATCACAGTTGTGTGACAGATCACAGTTGTGTGACAGATCACAGTTGTGTGACGTGTGACAGATTACAGTTGTGTGACGTGTGACAGATCACAGTTGTGTGACAGATCACAGTTGTGTGACCTGTGACGGATCACAGTTGTGTGACAGATTACAGTTGTGTGACGTGTGACAGATCACAGTTGTATGACAGATCACAGTTGTGTGACAGATCACAGTTGTGTGATGTGTGACAGATCACAGTTGTGTGACAAATCATAGTGACAGATCACAGTTATGTGACAGATCACAGTTGTGTGACGGATCACAGAGACAGATCACAGTAGTGTGACAGATCACAGTTGTGTGACAGATCACAGTTGTGTGACGTGTGACAGATCACAGTTGTGTGACAGATCACAGTGACAAATCACAGTGACAAATCACAGTTGTGTGACAGATCACAGTGACAGATCACAGTTGTGTGACGTGTGACAGATCACAGTTGTGTGACAGATCACAGTTGTGTGACAAATCACAGTTGTGTGACAAATCACAGTGACAGATCATAGTTGTGTGACAGATCACAGTGACAAATCACAGTTGTGTAACAGATCATAGTTGTGTGACGGATCACAGTGACATATCACAGTTGTGTGACAGATCACAGTTGTGTGACGGATCACAGTGACAGATCAAAGTTGTGTGACAGATCACAGTTGTGTGACGGATCACAGTTGTGTGACGTGTGACAGATCATAGTTGTGTGACAAATCACAGTTGTGTGACAGATCACAGTTGTGTGACAGATCACAGTTGTGTGACGTGCGACAGATCACAGTTGTGTGACAGATCACAGTTGTGTGACAGATCACAGTTGTGTGATGTGTGACAGATCACAGTTGTGTGACGGATCACAGTGACAGATCACAGTTGTGTGACAGATCACAGTTGTGTGATGTGTGACAGATCACAGTTGTGTGATGTGTGACAGATCACAGTTGTGTGACGGATCACAGTGACAGATCACAGTTGTGTGACAGATCACAGTTGTGTGACAGATCACAGTTGTGTGACAGATCACAGTTGTGTGATGTGTGACAGATCACAGTTGTGTGATGTGTGACAGATCACAGTTGTGTGACGGATCGCAGTTGTGTGACGGATCACAGTTGTGTGACGTGTGTGACAGATCACAGTTGTGTGATGTGTGACAGATCACAGTTGTGTGACAGATCACAGTTGTGTGACGTGTGACAGATCACAGTTGTGTGACAGATCACAGTTGTGTGATGTGTGACAGATCACAGTTGTGTGATGTGTGACAGATCACAGTTGTGTGACAGATCACAGTTGTGTGACGTGTGACAGATCACAGTTGTGTGACAAATCACAGTTGTGTGACATATCACAGTTGTGTGACGGATCACAGTTGTGTGACAGATCACAGTTGTGTGACAGATCACAGTTGTGTGACGGATCACAGTTGTGTGACGGATCACAGAGACAGATCACAGTAGTGTGACAGATCACAGTTGTGTGACAGATCACAGTTGTGTGACGTGTGACAGATCACAGTTGTGTGACAGATCACAGTGACAAATCACAGTGACAAATCACAGTTGTGTGACAGATCACAGTGACAGATCACAGTTGTGTGACGTGTGACAGATCACAGTTGTGTGACAGATCACAGTTGTGTGACAAATCACAGTTGTGTGACAAATCACAGTGACAGATCATAGTTGTGTGACAGATCACAGTGACAAATCACAGTTGTGTAACAGATCATAGTTGTGTGACGGATCACAGTGACATATCACAGTTGTGTGACAGATCACAGTTGTGTGACGGATCACAGTGACAGATCAAAGTTGTGTGACAGATCACAGTTGTGTGACGGATCACAGTTGTGTGACGTGTGACAGATCATAGTTGTGTGACAAATCACAGTTGTGTGACAGATCACAGTTGTGTGACAGATCACAGTTGTGTGACGTGCGACAGATCACAGTTGTGTGACAGATCACAGTTGTGTGACAGATCACAGTTGTGTGATGTGTGACAGATCACAGTTGTGTGACGGATCACAGTGACAGATCACAGTTGTGTGACAGATCACAGTTGTGTGATGTGTGACAGATCACAGTTGTGTGATGTGTGACAGATCACAGTTGTGTGACGGATCACAGTGACAGATCACAGTTGTGTGACAGATCACAGTTGTGTGACAGATCACAGTTGTGTGACAGATCACAGTTGTGTGATGTGTGACAGATCACAGTTGTGTGACGGATCGCAGTTGTGTGACGGATCACTGTTGTGTGACGTGTGTGACAGATCACAGTTGTGTGATGTGTGACAGATCACAGTTGTGTGACAGATCACAGTTGTGTGACGTGTGACAGATCACAGTTGTGTGACAGATCACAGTTGTGTGATGTGTGACAGATCACAGTTGTGTGATGTGTGACAGATCACAGTTGTGTGACAGATCACAGTTGTGTGACGTGTGACAGATCACAGTTGTGTGACAAATCACAGTTGTGTGACATATCACAGTTGTGTGACGGATCACAGTTGTGTGACAGATCACAGTTGTGTGACAGATCACAGTTGTGTGACGGATCACAGTTGTGTGACCTGTGACAGATCACAGTTGTGTGACGGATCACAGTTGTGTGACAGATCACAGTGACAGATCACAGTTGTGTGACGTGTGACAGATCACAGTTGTGTGACAGATCACAGTTGTGTGACAAATCACAGTTGTGTGACAAATCACAGTGACAGATCATAGTTGTGTGACAGATCACAGTGACAAATCACAGTTGTGTAACAGATCATAGTTGTGTGACGGATCACAGTGACATATCACAGTTGTGTGACAGATCACAGTTGTGTGACGGATCACAGTGACAGATCACAGTTGTGTGACAGATCACAGTTGTGTGACGGATCACAGTTGTGTGACGTGTGACAGATCATACTTGTGTGACAAATCACAGTTGTGTGACAGATCACAGTTGTGTGACAGATCACAGTTGTGTGACGGATCACAGTTGTGTGACAGATCACAGTTGTGTGACAGATCACAGTTGTGTGACGTGCGACAGATCACAGTTGTGTGACAGATCACAGTTGTGTGACAGATCACAGTTGTGTGATGTGTGACAGATCACAGTTGTGTGACGGATCACAGTGACAGATCACAGTTGTGTGACAGATCACAGTTGTGTGACAGATCACAGTTGTGTGATGTGTGACAGATCACAGTTGTGTGATGTGTGACAGATCACAGTTGTGTGACGGATCACAGTTGTGTGACGTGTGACAGATCACAGTTGTGTGATGTGTGACAGATCACAGTTGTGTGACAGATCACAGTTGTGTGACATGTGACAGATCACAGTTGTGTGACAGATCACAGTTGTGTGATGTGTGACAGATCACAGTTGTGTGATGTGTGACAGATCACAGTTGTGTGACAGATCACAGTTGTGTGACGTGTGACAGATCACAGTTGTGTGACAAATCACAGTTGTGTGACATATCACAGTTGTGTGACGGATCACAGTTGTGTGACAGATCACAGTTGTGTGACAGATTACAGTTGTGTGACAGATCACAGTTGTGTGACGGATCACAGTTGTGTGACCTGTGACAGATCACAGTTGTGTGACGGATCACAGTTGTGTGACGGATCACAGTTGTGTGACAGATCACAGTTGTGTGACCTGTGACAGTTGTGTGACGTGTGACAGATCACAGTTGTGTGACAGATCACAGTTGTGTGACGGATCACAGTTGTGTGACAGATCACAGTTGTGTGACAGATCACAGTTGTGTGACGGATCACAGTGACAAATCACAGTTGTGTGACAAATCACAGTTGTGTGACCTGTGACAGATCACAGTTGTGTGACAGATCACAGTGACAAATCACAGTTGTGTGACAAATCACAGTTGTCTTCATTATAAAATCAGTAATAAACCTTTATGCAGCCATTCAACTACAACCATTCTAGGGCAGAGGTCATATTTGTTTGAGTCCCTAAATAGGATACATACAAATGATTGTGATCTTACTAGGATCAAAATTTAACAATTATTAATTAAACTATGCATACCCACTCAAGTAATAGTTATTTCTGATGTCGCATTAGAAGTAATAGACTTAATACTGGATCAACTATACATAGCCTTTCAAAAAATTAGTCTTTAGGCTAAAAGTCTATCTCTGTACCATTTGTTAAACAATTTACCTAGGAGCAATCGAGTCAAACTCGTCAAAGAACAGGATACATGGCTTGGCACTTTGGGCCCTGAAACCAATCATAATTGTATTTCCTGTAATATCATATTTGTTTGAATAATGTCATTGTCATTATATATGTCACTTTGTTTATTCAAGCTGAGATCTTTACCTTACATGTAAACATTTCAAAGCAAGTCATTTGTAGTACAGGTGGAGAAGTTTAATAATTATTACTGTTTCACCCTTTCATGACACCGTTTTCAACCAATGTTAAATTTACTTAATATTTATGACAAGATATATTTTAGCTATGTCATAAAAATTTAGCCCATCATTTATTAGCTTGCTTCGCCAGATGGCTAATAAATTCAACTGTGACAACAGTTTCCCTGTATAAGTAAATTAAATTCAAGTCAATCTAAAGTATATATTTCACAACAATACAAAGATTCCAACCGATTCCCTCTTTGATGTCAGTAAATCTTACCTAATAAATGTATCCCTCACAGCCTGCTCACTGGCTCCTATGTATTTACTGAGTAGTTCCGGGCCCTGTTGGAATCCGTAATTTAACATGAAATATTTCACCAAACAGACATGTGAAATTATTTGTGTGACATGAATTCATTTCAAAACAAAATTTACCAAAGGAAAAATATCAACATGCAATTTTTAACATAAATCACAAAGATCTAATACCTCTAATTGATAGGATAATTTAGACAACATACAGCAAAGACTGACATTTTTTGTCAATATAAAAATGTATTTACAAAATGGGGCAAGAAAGTAACTACGCCCATTTTGACAAGTGGTTTTCATAAAGCAACTGCCTAAATTTTAATGGAATAATCCGTAATACACTTCATCAAGCTTAATAGAAACAAATAAGTTCAAATTAAGTTTGTTTTTATAAAATTTAAGTTTTTTGTCAACATTATATTAAATAGACAAGATTTTACACTAGCATACAGAGTTATAGATATATATTGTTACTCACGCACACACGCATGCACGCACACATGCACACACACACACACACACAAACTTCATTGCCTTAGGTCAACACATGTGTGCCAATTCTCATTTATGTAATGGGCCTTACCTTAATACTGATAAAGTTAAGGCCACATTCATTGGCCACAACGCCAGCTAGAAGAGTTTTCCCCGTCCCCGGTGCTCCATACAACAGAAGTCCGGACCGAAGCCTCAGAGGGCACGATGCAAACAATTCAGGATACTGTCAACAAATAATGAATGCTTTCTGAAGCCATAGTATCCTACTCTTGTGATCAAACAAATCTTATAGTTACACCACACATTCCTGATATTTCCTGCTTCAAAAAACCTAAATACTACACTTCCAATCATTCCTTTTCACAATTTGATGACCTACAATTCCAAAGTTCATTTTCAAAATCTCTTCTCTTATCCTGAAAGAAGTAAAAACCCAAATTTCTAACTTTGTCCTGATTTGAATTGAAGGTACTATATATCTGATTTAACTCTCATCAAAGTTAGTCACAGCAGCATTTATATTTTCTGACGAACTGATCAAAATAGAATTTCATTATGTCGTGAACACAGACAAAATAACATCTTGGCCTCGCTTTGTGAAGATTTTGTATGGCCTTTGAGTTGATAAAGTCTGATAATTATATAACAAGGTAATGACATCTTTGTATTTACCTTACTAGGCAGGAGGAGTGTCTCCTTTAGGGTGACCTTGACCTCTGTGAGACCTCCCACATCCTCCCATCCAAGCTCACCTGTTGTGTGGAGGGGAACGTTTCGTATGGAAGCAGGTGTAAATCCTCCGATGGCATGTTTGAAGTCGGCCATCTCGAGGTTGAAGTCCTCTTCAGAGTGGTCTGTATGAAACACGTCCCCTAAAAAAAATGTTGTTCAGTGTCAACTACTGTTAACTCATTATTTTTTGTGGAGGTTTTATTTTCATTGATTGCATGGGTATTGTAAAATCTCTGAATTCTAATGTCAACAAAAGAATAAATAATTTATGAAGCCAGTGGATTCCCCGAGTACTGCCAAGGAATTCACCCAGAAATATCAAGTCAAAACCAGCAGTATTTTTTAAAAAGCAACAAAATTCAATACCATCAGAATATCTGATTTTACAGTAATCATCACAACTGCTGGTCTTGTTTTCATGTTTTCAACACAGATAATGCTTCATCATCTAAAATGTTGGTCCATTTACATAAGAAATATGATCAAATGATGTCATGAATTTAGAATACGATCAAAAAACGTTAATAGATTAAAATATGACACAGCATGGTAGGGGATGATCAAAATGAAGGAGACAATACACAGAGTCTAAACGACTACAAGAATGATATGGACAATGTGCTCTCTGTCATATTTGCAAAGAAACAAATACATTAAGGATTATGATTTTGAAAAGACTTTTAAAACTCATTATTATAATATTACAAATTTAACACTAATATTTGCCTTTGTTACATTTAAAAACTTAGAAACTCATTTTTTTTTTATTCATGTCAATGTAAGTTCTGTAATATAAAAGACTAAGTGTACAGGAATAAAATTATGTAGCTGTACAAAATGTAAATTTTGGACAGGACAACTGAACTTGGTTAACTTACTTCTACCATGAAGAGTATAAGCGTGGATGGCTCTACTAATAAGGGTGTCAAGGTCCTTAGCAACAAATCCCTCCGTTTTACCAAGCAACCAATCCCAGTCCATCTTGTCTAGCGTTGCCTCAGACACTCGCGTCCTAATGATTGTCTTCAAAATATCTTTCCTCTTTTCCTGGTGACAAATAAATAAGGACGTATGTATATTTGAACATCCCATGCAAAAGCAACAAAATGTGTTGTTTCTGTTTCCAAGACAGCAAATTAAAATAGAATTTATTCTCTGTACAAGGGGACTGTGATATCTCTATCAGTTGAGCATCAGACATCAGAACCGAGGTACATGGTTTAAATCCCTGCATAGGGCAGTTTGTGTTTCTCATGCAGCTGAGATTATCACAATTCTGTGATAGCATCTGAAAAGTCTCCCATAATTAAGAGTAAGAAGCTTTAAACTTCTGTACTAGCATGATTAAGTACAGACTTTGCATCATTGTCACTTCTCTTGTTCCTGATGATCTTAGAAAGACACTGTACATGTATATGTTATTTACTTTAAAATCTTAAATCAAGGATAATTGACTGGAAACTAAGAAATTATAGAACAAAGAATTTATGGCCACTTTTAATCTTCATTTCTGTATTATGTCTGGAGGACAATATCCTACAGGTTTCATCTAAATAGGCTGTCTAAAAAACTCTGCAACAGTTCTGACTATTTCATCAACATATAAGCACTTCAACAAAATAAATTTTTCACAATATATTTGTTCTTTGGAAATAACTATGGAGTTAGGTAACGACATTTACTATCGCCTGTTTACAACATTTACTACCTTGTTAAGTGGGCGTATGTTGATCACAGACTGGACAAAGTGTGTCCCTCGGGAAGACGTCAGCAGGGGATGCAAGGAGTTTCGTGATTGGCTCGTGGCTATGACAGCTATTCGACTGCCGTTATTGATTTCCTTCCTCAGTAAGTCTCGTAACACTGAAGTATTCAGATTCAATAAAAAATATCAAAAAATGATAGCGTGATAGTCTTTTTAAAAAATTGTAAAATATTTGTAAAATCATTGAATTTTGATGGAAAAAGAAAGTATGAAAATCAACGAGTATCATAAGTGTCTACCGAGTATAATTCATTATGATTTATGTGAAATTTTGTTAGTATAGCAAAGATATATTCCTTAACAACCATTAAGAGTAAATTGTTGTCTGTTTTCAAACTCTGAGAATATTCAGATGAAATTCTATCTTCAAAAATCAATGGCAAACTTTTGACAAAACAACACAACTTGAAATTATCTTTCCTTACACAAAACGTTTTATTTGGCATAACTTTACTACAATTTCACTTTTATTATCAGATATTACCTTCAGCAACTCTTGACCCATAAATACTTTCTGCATTCATCTCAGCCTCTGGACCAGATGGTGCTGGCATCACATGGTCAAGGTCATCAAATAAAATGACAGCTGGCTGACGCCAGATGACCTCCTCAAAGAGAAAAGTCAGGTGTTTCAAAATGTTGTCCGGAGATTTTCCTGTAAATTTTAAGAAGTAACGTTAACAGGCAATGATTAACAGTTTCAAATTTGTTTTGATTATGACAATATTTGAAATAATTTTCATGCAAATGAAATTTGGTGTACAGGTACAATTTTCAGTCTATAAGGCCCTGGTCAAAAAATTATACAATGTATGGTAATTGAATTTCTTTACAGAAACCTTCATAAAACTTACTGCTCAATAGAGAAAAGTTTGACAGTATTTCAGTAATGAATTCTACAAAAGATTTACAATTTTCAGATTTAAGTCTAACATAGATTTTTACCTCTTAAAGGCTTGCAGTCCACGTGTGAGAGATAGGCAAGATTAGGCACCTCGGCTACCCTCCTACAAATGGCACGTGCTAATGAACTCTTTCCACAACCTTTAGACCCGGTTATTAGGAGCATTCCATTCCTGATTCCAGGGTGAGTCATTTTGAACATTTTGTTACTTAAAGGCCGACTTCCTAAACATACCTCTATGTGGCTGATAGCTTGTTCAGCATACTCTGTAAATCCTCTGTAAACAGATATCAAAATTAGACTGAAAATTTCTGTATTGAATTAAAATATTTCTTAAACAGAATAACTTGATACAACTTACAGACTTAGATATAAATTAGATATGTATATCCAAGTATGTACCTTTTTTACAGTACAATTCGTATTTGCCAAAATAATCAAATATATGGTACAAAGGATTTTACATTTGTTTCCATTTTCTCTATAATTTTAAAAACTTTGCATAAAGTTTTCATTTTAGCTCACCAAAAGCTTGCTAGAATTAAAAATTTTCATACATGATCCATAAATCAGATATCAAACTCATCATTGTCATGTTTAATAGAGATAATTAAAAACAGACAACAAAAGATAACTGATCAAAAAATGCATAGGAATCCAGGTGATCACAAAGATCTTCATACCTGTACATACGATCACAAAGATCTTCATACCTGTACATACGATCACAAAGATCTTCATACCTGTACATATGATCAAAGATCTTCATACCTGTATATATGATCAAAGATCTTCATACCTGTACATATGTCAAAGATCTTCATACCTGTACATATGATCACAAAGATCTTCATACCTGTACATATGTCAAAGATCTTCATACCTGTACATATGTCAAAGATCTTCATACCTGTACATATGATCACAAAGGTCTTCATACCTGTACATATGTGTACATATGTCAAAGATCTTCATACCTGTACATATGTCAAAGATCTTCATACCTGTACATATGTCAAAAATCTTCATACCTGTACATATGTCAAAGATCTTCATACCTGTACATATGTCAAAGATCTTCATACCTGTACATATGTCAGAGATTTTCATAATTTTGTATATATGATCATTCATCTTCATACCTCTATATATTATCACAGAAATCTTCATACCTATATAACTTCAAAACAGGTTAATATGATCTTAATAATAACCTGGTATGCATTCATTTGCAAAATGAAAATTTCCTTCTCTTGGTCAAGTGATTGAAGGTATGACATTTTTTTTATAAAATGCTTCTTTGCCAAGCTGTGTTAAGACTGACCCTAAATTTTTCAGTAGCTTTGTGGGTACTGAGGGATCAAAGTCAGCCACATCACCATACATATCTGAGTAGATCAACATAGGTCGAAATGGAAGCTTGTTATCCATAGTGGATTTAAAGTTGGTACTGGCCGAGATGGACACTCGTTCTGTGTCCTCTGTGCTCAGCAGACGAAAACCATCGGGTAGTGGTTGATCAGCACTCTCTGTATAAGTCACCTGTAACTCCATGGTTACTGCTACAATAAACACAGTATATTTATCAATTACTTATTTTTATCAGACATTTTATGGTGTCCTCTGTATATTGTTATAAGATAATGCTAATGTAAAAATTGAGTTCATTTACCATGTACTCTTTTTCTTTAGGTATACATGACTTATCAAAAGGCATCATTCACAGTGAACTTAATAGGTTTTCATTCTGGCATTTTGTTTTTCTTTTTTGCTCTTTATTTTCTGAAAACTTCAACAAAAAATTTCATAACAAAGACTCTTGATAATTGTCATTTTCAATGGAGTTGTTCAATAGAAATCCCAGGAATGTTATTTATGATAGAGGTTTTGAGCTGTGTAGGAGAAAGGTCATTTATAGAAGGTGAGAGAGGTGGAGAACAGTCAGCAACAACTTTTTCTATTTGTTTCATGTGTCCCTAATGAGCACAGTTGTCACAGATTTGTGAACCTTTTGATCTCAGCAGGCTGACGTTTTTTACATTTGCAAAATTTCAGCAGTTATGATCACTTGCAATCTTAAGTCTAAGTGACAAAGTCCCTGATAGTTTGAGGAAAGAGATTTTACAATGAACATTTGGTTAAAGTCTGTTGAACAGTTTAAGTGGAGATATTGTATAAAGTAAACGTTGATAAATATCAGTAGGGCACAACAGTTGGCAAACTGATGACAGCCATGATTTAAACAACAGTATTTCATAAAGGTGACTTATCCAACCCTGGAACTTACAATGAAACAGCGGTATTTTCACCATAATCCCGGGAAAAACAACCAGAGGCATGCTTTTGTCAGTGGAATACTTCAACCAGTTGATAAATGCTTTCACAATCATGAACCCTGACATCTGACTTGGCTACCAATAGAAAGACAGATAACATGTTCAGCCATACTTAGGAACAAATAGAATGACAGATAACATATTCTGCCATACTTTTGAACCGACAGAAACCTAGATAACACATTCGTTCACACATATGGACCAATAGAAAGAAGGATAACATAAAGAGTATGTATTGTAATCTAGTTTTTGTTATCTATTTTTATAAACAGAAATTGCTAATCAGAAATTTTAGTTATCAAATCCACACTATTGATAGAATGTAGTATCTACTCTGCATACTGGTAATACAAATTTTAGCACCAGTGAATTTTTGTTCTTAAATAGGAAAAATTACTATTAATAAAAAATAATACTAAATTTATCTCAACAATAAGTCCTTGGATTTACATATTACCTCTGACTCAAAGTCAGGAGATGGACTTATTACAATGAAAAAGCATGTACTAAAACTGATTCTTAAAAAGCAATTATATGAGTAATGGGCTTATTACCAGACAGGGGCTAATTGTCAGGTGCAATCTATAAAACATGCATTAACATCATAAATTAGGAGAGTGACTTGATCCAAAAAAATGACACAACTGAGAAAAATATGAAACAAAAATATTTTAGCTAACTGGAATTGAGTGGTCTCCCTTCACAGTCATTTTATTCATGGAATATTGAAAATGAAGACTTACCACAGATCCTACTGGATACAGCTGGTAGGGGGCATTACAAGACTGGGGCGGGGCCACAGTCTGCAGCCATACCTTCCTTGTCACATCAAGTTCCAGCAAGCGTCGTAACAAATTATTGATGATCACATGACCAGGTATGCACTGCTGTTCTTGTAATAGTGTTACAACCATGTGTTCATAGTTTTTATCGCAGCTCATTTTTTTATGATCAATGACTACAACTCTTACAAAACAGCTTACCGGTCGACTTTCTTTATCTGATCGACCACTAGATGACATTGAATTTGATGATCCACTTAGCTTTTTCTGCGGATTTTTACTGTCAATAGGTTCTTCTTCTTTTTCTTTTTTCTGACTGACTACTTGCTTTTCCAGTTCTTCCTTTGGGGAGACAAGTTTTGACAATCTTGCGTAGAAAAATGTCGGGATTTCAGTAAGTTCTCTATCAATTTGATCATGGATGTCTTTATGATTAACAAATACTGTAGCAGGCTGTTGAAGAAACAGAGATTTTTCATCCGAGTCAGATAATTCATCTTTAAAACTGTCCTTCAAACTTTTAGCGAGTATATTATAAGTGATCTTAAGTGATTGAACACGCAGTACAAAGTTCATGCCAGTTGGAAATTTATCTGGTTTTTGCACTAAATCATTGCGTTCTAGATTCGCAGATAAACTCTGTAACTTTGCATTAATTTTTTGTACTCCTAATATCCAAGGTACAAGCTCCTTCCAGCCCCAACGAGATGGCGAACCATTTTCTGATGATGACGATGGCCCCCCGCCATCAGAGGAGTCCCGACGACTTCCTGCTTTTGAGCTGTGCTTGCTGTCCTCACTCTGTCCACTGTTACTAGATAACCTTTTGAAGTGGCCTTTAAAAGACTCACGGGATTGACTGGATCTGGTCGATGTTCCACTTGTAGTCATGTTTGAGTTACCGGTATTTCTAACCTTCGGTGACACAATCACTTCGGTCTCATTTCTGAGAATCACACAGTTTTTGTCTGGGTCAGTTGTACCTGTTAATAAATAGTTATCTATAGTGTAGAAATGACATGGAAACAATGGCATTAGAATAACCCATATACTTATAACTGGACATACCATCACGTAACACCCTCCGTGGTCAGAATATAAATTTGAACTCAAGGTCAGTGGATTGGCATATTACTTGACGATGAGATAGCATTTGCTTGGTATCAACTGAACAGCAATAGATCGGGATGAGATATATATGGACTAGTCCAGCAAACTTGTATTTCACATGACATGCTTTTTATCAGAACTTTTGATTTCTTAATACATGGTAGCAGAATTTATCATCAGATGTTGGGACGTTAAATGTCATATGTTTATCAATATGGATGATACATGAAAGCATCTTCACCCTGCCAGGTAAACACATAATGCTCAAGTCTCCATAGATATGAAATTTATAAACAATAATTTCAACTTCAAATATTACTAAATATTACTAATTAGGATTTTTTTAACTTGTGTTTACATGTACACTAGAATATTTGTTTGCTTTTCTAAGAGGATGGGGAAGAGGGGTTCAAATGTAAGTCAGTGTTTTAAATCTCCCTACATTAAAGTGATTTTATCAAAAAACTAAACAGAATCAAGCATGGCGATGAAAAATATTTTCAACATTACACAAATTAGATTTTATTTTAACTTACCTATTTTAAGGAAGACACAGGTAGATTTTTCCACCCACACAGGTAAGATCTGAGTTTTCCACACTACTCTCACCTGGTCCAACAGGTGACTCTCTATAAAACCTGCATGTCTCTCCTGTTAAAAAACAAACATGCAAAAATTGCAGTATTGATTAATATGTAGATATAGCAATGGTACAATTTTCAACTGGGCTGATAAATAAGAGTTTCTTTTGAAGCCTTTGGAGATTTTAGTTTTTGCTTTTGGTAAAGGTTGCCTTGGAGGAGGTGGCCTGAGGGAGGTGGCCTAGGAGGAAGTTGCCTAGGGGGAGGTGGCCTAGGGAGAGGTGGCCTCAGGGGAGGTGACCTAGGGGGAGGTTGGCTAGGGGGAGGTTAGCTAGGGGGAGATGGCCTCAGGGGAGGTGACCTAGGGGGAGGTGGCCTAGGGGGAGGTTGGCTAGGGGGAGGTGGCCTAGGGGGAGGTTGCCTAGGGGGAGGTGGCCTCAGGGGAGGTGACCTAGGGGGAGGTGGCCTAGGGGGGAGGTGGCCTAGGGGGAGGTGACCTAGGGCTAGGTGGTCTAGGAGGTTTGCTAGGGGGAGGTGGCCTGGGGGGAGGTGGCCTAGGGGGAGGTTGGCTAGGGGGAGGTGGCATCAGGGAGGTTGCCCAGGGGGAGGTGGCCTAGAGGAAAGTGGCTTAGGGGAAAGTGGCCTAGGGGGAGGTTGGCTAGGGGGAGGTGGCCTAGGGGGAGTTGGCCTAGGGGGAGGTTGCCTGGGGGGAGGAGGCTTCTTAATAATAATGTAGCTTTAACATTGATTTGTCAAAATATTCTAACACTGAATATAACACAATAGTGCTTTTTTTCTTTTATTCTTTTTTTTAATTTGTAATGTACACAAAATAACCTAGACAATGATAGCCACATACATTAAAAACTTGGCACTAAATAAAAGATTTGGCAATTCAAATTTTAGTCCCAACTCAAACTAAGAATAGAAGTTTTGCCTACAGCATTCTACACTAGTTTATTGACAACACACATAAACAGGATTGACAACAATAATTACATTGTAGTGTCCTTAATGACAGCAGATATAAAAATAAATGGTTGTGCTTCTGGATCAAGATGTTATATTGCCTGATACAATCTCTGTACTTACAAGTATCTCCCAGTCGTCAGTTGACAGGGGCTCCACTGCCACCTGTGTGGCTCCATGGACACCAGGTGTATGGCGCACTATCACCTGGGAAAAGCAAAGATTGCAAAAAACATAGTACAGATGGGTTTTTTTATCTTTACAGTGTATAGGGCTTTTTTCATCTAAATCATTTTTTTTCTACAAGACTTTTACTAATTGTGATGCATGTTTAATCAATGTTATTCAAGTATTGAGGATCATTTTTAGAGTCCACTACGAGGATACCTGATCTCCATCCTTTAGTCCGAGCTTGCTCCCATACAATCCATTGACCTGCAATACTCCATCTGTCCCAGTGTTAGTTCGGATTATCTCCCCTGACCAGCTCACAAACACTTTGGAATCATCTCCAAAAGTCAGTTCAAATACACTGACCTACAACAGAGCCAATATTCATCATGTATATCATAATTCTTAACAGTTCAGCCATTTTGTCGTTCGACAGAATATGAGATTTTAACTGCTAACCACTAACTTTTAACTGTTATTATCTAACCTTCCAATCCTGGCCAATGCCTTAGTATCTGTGATATCTTTGGTTTTCAAAACTACTGAAATAAATAAAAATGAGTAAGCAGAAAGATTTCACACAAAATTTCCTTTCAAAAAAGTTTGAATATTCTTACTGTCTCCTGTTTACTATTTTGATAAATTTTGATGATTTCTAGCTTCACTTGAAATGAAGATTCAATATTAAAACATATGTTAATTTTTAAACTTTGGTATTATTTTTCTTATAATCACTTGTGAGGGCCAAATGAAGGATTGTTCTATTGTCCTTCATTACTCTGTAAAATAAAGCTGATCATCGATGATGTCTTGAGTTTATCCGGACTCTTTACCCAAACCCCAAACTTCATTATGGTATACATAAATGATCTCACATGAGTAGTCATGTCATATAAAATTAACAAACAATACTTTGTTATTTATGACAATAGCCTGAAAGCGAGTTTTGACATCAACATAGTGTTATTACATATGGGTACAATATTGATAACACTAGCATTATGTTTACCATTCGAGCATTTTCAGCTTGTCAAAGTTGTTTGGTAAAACGAGACAGAAGAGCTCAGCTATAATGTTTGTACATGTAATGTTGACAGTAACAAAAAAACCATCAGAACACTTCTGGCTACTAAAGTATATTACATAAGAAAAAAAAATTTTGTGTCGTCACATGTAATTACTATATGAAAACACCTGAAAATGTTGTTGGAATTTCTAGTCGAAAAGGAATATTGAGGATTGTGTTGGTTCATTGGTATCTGAAAGACCATATATATATAGCTACTTCTCAGTAACTACTGTATAGACAGATGGTGTGTAAGAGAGTTTGTATTAATGAACAAGATGATGAGGTACATATCTCGACTGTTGCTTTTTGTTGGGTGTAGCTTAATCAGTCAAAAGTAATAGATTCCTATGTATGCCTTCGAAAGATCTTGTGGCGATTTTTAACGCTCATAATCTTTCATGTTATTGTCAAACTACGACATTGACATAACGATTAAAACATCCTATCACAAATGCTAAAAATCATAATATGAACCTTCGGGTGTATAGTATAGGCGAAAACGTATAGGACAAGGATTTCAGCATGTAGTGGAATACCGCTATAATAGTGAAATCGGGACCTCTTTACGACCTCATAAAATCACTATTGTCTGAAATATGATAATACTTGGTGATACAAAAATGAGAGATAGCATGTCTAGAGGATACTCCAGTTTAAAAAATTAATTATGCCTCGCAAATGAAATTAAGAAAAATCTGAATCATCAAAAAAAAGTGGAAGCGAAATGATGCAGACAGTGATTCCCAATGGATATCACTCTGTACAGTGCTGTTTTACCTCGCCATCTTTTGAAGCAGACTTGCTGACATCTGGTGGCAGGGCAACAAAACAGTTTTTGTCGGCTGTAAACCTAACAGTCAACACATGGAAGCTCATTCTGGCGCCTACACAGAAAACTGCTAACGGACTTCTCTCATGTGGGTGTGAAAGTATCTTTTGTCAGCCATCTTTAATTTTCAGCTTCCGGTTTGAAAATTTTCAAGGGATATAACTTGTGCTACCTTATCGTGATTTCAGCGGCGGAATGGGCAGAAAGATAACATTTTTCTTTCTTTTTTAAAAAAATATTATGGCTATTATTTTATATCGTTTTCTTGGTTCAAAAGTTGTTGGACAATTGGGCAATATGTCGTCAAATTCAGGGTTATATGGCATATTTGGTTATTTTTATTCGTGAATGATGAAGAAGTCAATCGAATAAAAGATTTTGTTTTCTTGTCAAGTGCTGTGTAGCATGAAGTAAAAAATCACTTCCTTTAAGGTAATGAAAAAGAGCGTCGCTTTATAATCTGAGTTTGAACTTCCTGTTTTGTACAGATAGAGATTAGGAATAACGTTTATAAAAAAAAAAGATGAAAATTCCAACATAATCATAACCACGGACTTATATACACATATATAAGTCCGTGTCATAACCCAAACCTAACATCGATAAAACTAGGGCAAAATATAAACATAGACAAAAGTAGACATCTACACAGAGACCCATAAGAAAGTTCCTGGTGGCTAAGACCAAGTGATCCCAAATAGAAAGTGTCTTCTCCTTCATCGACGACACCCGCCATGTAAACCGTGGTCAAATGGCCATATAAGTAAGGTAACGTTCTCAAATGACGACAAGGTATACAACGGACCACCAGGCAAGCTAACAAACATCGAACACGTCCACCTTCATACCGCACAAACAAAAGGAATATATCTCAATGATATCACTATGGCAACCGTAAAACTTCAGCATGATTTTCACACACTTGCATCTTTTGAGTCTTACGCGTCAGTCAGTTGACGTCTAGTTCGAAAATCGTAATAATAGGAATAGGCTCATGAATATCGAATCAACTGCGACATGTAAACATCCTAGGTTGGGCATGATTGTTGCTATCGAGAAATAGACGATATACCATAGGGAAAGAGAATTCAGCACACTTATCATACAGCTTGGTGGAAGGCTGTCCATGTTGATTTCGTTGTAGGAAAAGATCGAGATAAGCGGCTGATATATAAGTCTGTCGTGTCCATGGTGTCCAATTCTGGTGGGAATATATGATAGATAGGTCAATAAATCAGTTTTAATTGAAAGACAAGACGTCATAAATATATATCGAAGTGAAAGCATGGGACTTTGCAAGGTCTTTGTGACCCTCTTTGATAAGCACTTCGATCACTAGGACGAAATCAATGTATTCTGAATCAGTAGAACATGACTTATCATCGGCGTCTATATATGATAAATGTATTTACAATGAAACAGTGAAAAAATATGTGTCACGTAAGAACCAATATATCTCGTCTCCCATTAGAAGCTTATACCTCATATCATTGATTGTATATCCTACCATATGTAAACGCCAAAGAGAGGCCTTGTTCTCCTGTTTCTACTCAATTAATGTCGTTGTAATTATAAACTGAATCATTTGACTCTCTTTATTGTATACCCCATTGTCGAAGTCATCCGACTACTGAAGGACAAACTTTGAAGGTCGATCTTCCAGATTTTCATTATGTCTATGTTGGTTTCGTAAAAGGAAGAGATCGAGATCTGATATAGTAGAGTCTGTCGTGTGTATGATGCATGATGATGACATCATTGCAATGACATAATTGATGATGATGATGACGATGATTGATTGATTGATTGATTGATTGATTGATTGATTGATTGATTGATTGATTGGATGAAAAATGTATATACGATGGCCAGGTTAATAAATCTCGTGTTTATTAACAGCAAGTCGTCACCAGTATATCTGATGCATTTTTACCGGGGAAATAAAAACAAATACTGCCGATAGCGTGCATTCAAATACCATTTAATTTAGACAAACGAAACTTGACCAAAGATAATCAAATCACATCAACATCCTGTACTGCAACGCGAAACTGACAGTCCAAAGCCAAGGTAAAAAAAGTTAATTGATAATTAATTACTTGTGTCAATAATTAATTAGTTAACAGTTTTACGATATATAATGTAAGTTTACCATTTACTAGATGATATGTTGCACTAACCTCAAAGTGAATACTGACGTCATACTGCATGTACCGTGACCTAATCTTTGATACACCTGGATGATACAATTATGTAAATGACGTCGGATGACGTCAAATATAAACACCTATTATTGTTGTAAACACGCTATTGTTTTTTCTGGTATAAACAGACGGACTTTGAACACACCTAATCCGCAAGTATAGCCGTACTCCGGATACGTTTCAAGGGGCGTACTTAACTCAAGTGGAAGTACTCGACGAATGTAATTTTCAATTGTCAATGTATTTCTGCAGTAATACGTCAAAGCGTAGTCGTTTACCGTTTCCCATGGTAACGTGCTAGAGTCTTGGTGAGAAAATAACAATTTGTACTAAAAAAATGAGTTCACACCCTGGATAAGAGGTCGTGTACCTTTCAGCGTAATTTAGTGTCATGTCCATGTGGTCCAAAGCAATGTATGAAGCTTTTGTAGAAGTCGCAGGATCGGTCTCGTAACCGTCAATCTAATGTATGATTTCTTATTTACAGTAAAACTTGATGATATGTAGGTCTAAGGGGTCGATTCTCGTTATGTTGACCTGGATGTTGTGGGTTATGGGTTCGAGTCACAGAAGGCTGACTTGGTTGTGTGTGGAAGGCTGCGAGTTCGAATCACGGTACGTTGACTTGGAGGTGTGTGGGAGGTCGTGTGTTGAAATCACAATATGTTGACTTGGTTGTGTGTGGGAGGTGGTGGGTTTGAATCAAAGTACGTTGATTTGGTGGTGTGGGAGATCGGAAGTGGGGCGAGGGGGCTTGGTTTTGCGTTAACTGTCGCGAGAAATATTTCAGTTATCTGTGTTGGTAAACTGTGGTAACTCGCTGGAGGAAAGACTTCACATAAAGTATTTGTAGGAAAGCATACACTCTCGAGCACACATCCAAAATCACTTCGTTGTACACTGACACTGTCTAGTGACTATATACATGTAGTTTAAAACTTCGATATAGTGACACTGCCTGCCATATATAGTATAATCTCAATATACCGATAAAGTTTTTCCCCAAAGAATATGCAAAAAATCGATATACTGACACTGTCGCTTCAGTGACCATTTACAGTAAAACCTCGAAATACTGAGTGTTTCACCAGTGGTTATACACATTAAACCTCGAAATACTGAGTGTTTCACCACTGGTTATAAACAATAAAAACTAAAAAAAAAAAACTGCGTGTTTCACCAGTGGTTATTTACAGTAAAACCTCGAAACACTGAGTGTTTCACCATTGGTAATACATATTAAAACATCGAAATACTGAGTGTTTCACCATTGTTTATATACTGTAAAACATTGGTATGGTAACACATTTTCCCCTTAACCATGTACACTCAAATCTCGATATACTGAGTTTGTCTAATGACTTACTCACATTTAAAACCCGATATATATTAAAAAGTTTCTTTTGTAAAAAGCCCGTATTAAAAAGTTCGGTTTAAATGGTGACATTCTGACGAAAATGTAAACACTCGAATTAAGCGACGCAAAATGAAGTGTCGTTATATCGAGAGGTTTATCTTGTTCCCTTTTTAGGATATCATGTGGTCTTTGATAAAGTTAGGGTACGTTATCGGAGAAGTTCACGGAGTACACGGGAGTTTAGAACCAGCACCTTGTCTAATTTCATTTCGTCGGATTATTGACAAAATGGCGACTAAAATGACACAAGCCGAAACCGTCACAATCGGATTTGTACAAAGCTTTTGTGTCAAAGTATGGAAACAATTTCTTACACATGTACCCATCCTATATAATTCATGGGATAAGGTTAAAACATCTAAACTAATTCATAAAACCGAGTCTAAGCAGTAAATTGTATATTATATTGCACATTGTCTCGATTTAAGGTAACTTCAACAATCTTATTTCTTTTGTATTGATTCAAGCACCTGTATAGTAGTCTGATGAGGTTCTGATGAGGTTTTGTTTTGGTGTGTGTTCAAGGCCAATTATAAGTGTTATGTGGCCTACTTGAAGTCATCGTAATATCTCATCAGAACAGATACATGGTATAGTAGCAACCTGGGAGAGAATTTAAGTAGCCCCCACAAGTGTCCCTCTCGGAAAATCTCTTGTGTGTGGTTTCAGAGGCTGGGAAATTTTTATCAGTTCTTGCAGTCCACCCGGTCACGTGGCCTTTAGGTCCCGGTCCGGCCTCAAATCTCAGAGCGCGTGCGGAAATGTCACAAGTGTACGTCTAATGTTGTTTACGAATGCTGACAACGACTACATATTCTCCGTTATAGTTCTATGATTATTATGCTTTAATATTACAATTTTACATATACATTTCATAAACTAAAATAAATGTTGTTTATCCAATGTGTATGGTTTATGTATATGTTAATAGCGTTTCCCGCACCTTATTAACATATATTGAATTTGCATATGACAATATGCTTTCAGATCTTGTTTATATTCATGCTATACGTCGGCTGTTTTCCTTGTGTCTAAATAAAATGCAGATTAATTTCAAGCTTTACGACCGTGCATGCATACCTCACGAAAATATTCAATTCCACCACGAAAATGCAAACCCACGAACAGAGTAAATACTGATGACACGAAAATGTGGGGGGATGTAAAGTATGATCGACATCTTTTGTATTGAAACTTGGCCTTAATAGGCCGATACATTAATATATTCTTGAGTAAATTGTACAAACATCATGTACATCATGGTGGTAGGACTTGTGCGATTTTGAGAGAAAATATATACCTGTTTGACATCATGTATTGAAACCGAGACAATGGCGACATGAGATGTAGTCTTAGTGTTATACATTGTAAGTGGTTGGTTACAAACAATATTGAAATAAGAAGGAAAAAGAAACAGAAGCGAAAACAAAACCAAAAAGGAAACAGATATCGAGATAGATTTATGCAATTTTAAAAAGTAGAAAAACGTCTTGATATCATTGGTAATGACATGCTTTCTCTCCCCATCCCATTCCTCCACCCCGTCCGAAAAAAAAAAACAGCAAACGTAGCCAGCTCAGTTGGCAATGTTTTTTCATTGCAGATTTGAACATCGCAGATAAATTGAGCTCAAGCTTACAGAGTGCAGAAAACGGGATTTCCAGAAAGGTCTTAAGATATGTCGCTAAAAAATCGAAGGATGATTAGTTCGGGGAAATGGCCACACCCTCTCCTTGATGTGTATTATTCACCGTGGTAAAAGTATAATGTCGAGTACACAGATACAGTCAGCTGCTATCACTTTAACTTATGAATATTGAAAGAGTACATTCTTTCTGTTAATGAACTTCGATCGTCACCGACTTCGTGAGTCATCTCTGTGCGATGTAACTCATTACCGCTTTGTCACCAGTCGCAAAATATATCTACATATTTATAATGATAGTATCAAACGACAAAACCCAAGTTTTGTTATCATTGTAATTATTTTCTTTATTTAGAACAACCACATAGTTTTAGGTCTGCCATTTTTTTTTTTTTTACACTGTTTCATAACTGAAGTATTAATTTTTTCACGTGTTACTCTCATGTTTTGCCGGGTATATTTTAAGAATGGAATTTGACAATATCGTAAATGTATGTGTTAAAATTCAATATTTAAAACCTCTATTCAAACCTCACTCCCAAACTTTTGGTTGAGGACGGCCGTCAATCAATATGAGTCCATATTGGGCTTCATTAAACCTCTCACATTGCATATTTATCTATGTATTATTAACATGGAATCTTTAAAGATATCTTTTTTCTAACCCTTTCTGCAGAATCCCGTTTCGTTTCTTACGGGTACACATGCTTATTATTGCCAAGCAGTACACTATACGGTGTAATTTGTGAATGAATAAACCAGAATGATTGAGAAATATTAGCTTACTACAATGCAAAGATAGTAATGATTCACTGGGAAAGACCATACCGGACTTTGCCGAAGGCCCACCTACGCAGGTAAATAGAGGTGCATTGCCAATGATTGGCAGGTCTGTGGATACGGAAATTTCCTAATATGGCAAGGGGCTTAATAGGCGTGTTTGTATACCTCTAGGTGAAACTTCTACGGTAAATGATTTTGTATACATCGTTACATTTCTGGTGATAAGAGACAGTGTTTAATCCCTTTCCGACTTAACATCAAGTTTATTTCAACCCTGAGAAGTTTTCTGCACAGTAGTTTACACACAAGAGTAACAAATTAACAAGGTTGAGTAAACGTTTCCGAGTGACGTCAAAACATGGATTTCTACGCCGGCCTAAGCACATTTGAAGCAAAATAAGTCCGATCCGGATTGTATATATAAACATATTGAAAAGGGATATAAATTAGATTTTATCTATTCTTTCTTACATACATTTCTATGTTAGATGATAATTCAATTGTTCTAATCCCTGATTAATTCTTAATTATACTGTAAACATATATTTTTTGGAGAACTATTTTGTCCCGCGCAGGAAGGGAACCTGTCAAAATTAGGTGTTGCACGGTCATCAAGGCAAAATTTTCGACCAGAGTTAATGGTGTCCTCCATTACTGAAAAGTTCCCCAGGAAAACTTCAGGATTTACGTAGTGTTTTCGCTTATGGTGGGATTATACTGCTGCAGTAGGTCATATTGACACTTCCTTTCCTTGCTGTGTTGTGCTTGCCCGTCGACAAAATGTCGCAGGACCAGACGGAGCGGAAAGGAACCCAGGTTGTTCATGTCCGTGAGGATAGTGGGAGCGAACTTGAAGCACTATTCAGTGCCGCCATGAACCCCAAATCTGGACAAAGTGGGCAGATTCCACTCCGTATGAGAAAACTGCCAGCTTCTTTTTGGAAACCCCCTGACCAGCCCCAACGGCCGGTTCAGCATATGAAACAGGGCAGTAATGACTCGACCGGGGGATACCCCGGTCACCCGTCGGGGGTCGGACCGTCTCAGGGCAATCTTCAAATAGCTCATATGAGAGCTCACTCGTCCCCAGCCAGTTTACAACAGACTCTTTCACCAGTCCCCCAGGGCCCTCCCCAACCCTCGCCACACCACGCCCGACAGCATTCGTGTGACGCTCTCCTTGACAACGAGCCCCTCCCCCCGGGATGGGAAATGGCGAAGATGCCTGATGGTCAGCGATATTATCTAAAGTAAGTCTGTGCACGTGTGTGTATTGGAATGTGTATTGCTATTTATATGCAATTTACTTAAAATTCATGTATGAAATTGTGTTTAAATATTTACAACGTGCTGGTTATAATCATCAATCAATATAAAGATAACTGTAACTAGAGTGATGAATGTGCGTGTATGTGTATTGGACCGTGTACACATATGGCTTAGCACTTGTGTGTGGAAACAAAGTTCAGTGTGATCTCGGTAATTGTTCTTATTACTATTTACGAAATGGAAAGTAATTGTTTAAATACTTTTACAGTCATCAGGTAATTTATGTCTTCAGGTCAGGTCTATGATATGAATTTAAATGTCAGCTTTGTATTTGGCATGTTTAAGCTTATAATTTGATTTCAATTTCAAAATGTAAGGAAACATTTATTGGGGATATCTTAGGAAAAACTCACAGTTGTGACTTGTTCATGGCTTTTTAATTTAACGAAATCATGTGTCAGTTCATGTGAGAATTGTGTATGGTAAATTGCCTGTATTTGTACAGGTATTTATCAGTATTTATCACTGATCATGATTAAAATTTAATCATTGACCTTGACAATATTTAGATAAAAGATAATTCATTGTTGGTGGCATTAATACAGGATTTTACATTGCCAATTATGTCAAATGTACCATGTTATTGTTATTATTTATAAGAAAAAGCAAGGTGTGTTTTTCCATGAAACCTTAATCTTGTAAACTAACAGCACATAGTACTTGGAAATAAATTGTAGAGTCTGATTATATTGAACAAACATGAAAGGATTATATTGAAAATACATTCCATAGTTCAACTTATTGAGGTGTGTTACTGTGTGTAAAACAACTTTGATAATTTTATTATGTTTGGAATGTGTCATATTTTTAGGAGACAATAGAAAAATATGTGCTGTGTGTGTCTTAAGCTGTTAAACCCACTTTAGTACTATAAGCTTTGCTCTGCATACAATCATCAAACACAGAATGAGTTTTTTGATAAGAAATACCTTGACAAGTTTAATTGTTTATGTGAAAAAGACCCACACATAATAAGGAAAAACTATCACCAGAAAATTAAGCTGTATAAACCAAATTTCAAGCAAATGTGTTGTCAGCAGTCAGGTTATTAGAGAGTTTGTGTATACAACACCTGTATGTGAAAACATCAAATTATATGATGGAACTAAAAATGCCAATTTTCAAAACTATTTAACTGACCACAGATTGATGCATTGTAGATAGCTATTTTGTGTGATAATGTGACATTTTCTTTGAAAAGGACTTAAAACGTAAAAGTTTAAATCCTGAACATTTTCCATCCTCAATCACCAGTATTATTTTACTTTTACTGAATATCTGCACCCCATTTTCTGTCCCACAGTTGTGTGGTATTGTAGTCAAACTATACTCGAGCAGATATTTATCATTTTAAACCACACCCATATCACACATTTGCAATACATATAATACATGTTTTTAAATATATCTCTAGTAATTGTCTCACCAAAATTAGTGGATTAATTCATTGACATTGACCATCTGTGATTTCTAACCTGTATCATACAGAAATAGTATAGGGAGACTGAAAATAACATCTTTCTAAAGAATCTGTTGCTCCTACAAGGTGTATGTAAAAATACGCGACATTTAAGAATATATGTTTCTTTACAAATCATACAAATTACCAAACCAGTAAATATTGTTAAAACAACTCTTTCATGTCTTGTTTTTGAGTAGTAGATTTTTCATTTGATGAGTTTAAAAGAAAAAATCTTTGAATATGACCGTAGTGACCCTATGAAGTTAGACTGGCAAGGTCAGACAAGTAGGACAATGCCCTGTCTTTCCTCCCCATATCGGATGACATAGTGGTCTGTCATTTTGAGGTGTTGTCAACCATAGTGAATTACATGTTACTTTACACTGTTTGAAAGGGGTGTTTGTCCCCTTACAGGCTTTTAGTGTTACCTGATTTTGGTGTGAGGTATATTTTCTTAAAGATGAACAAACTCAAAAAGGTTGCATGTTTTATCTGCTGTTCAATAATGCTGATCTGAAGAAAGATTGGTCAAGTAGAATGTTAGAATATATTAGGCTGGAATCAGCTATTTAATATGTACAAATTCAGGCCTTTGATTTGACCCTTAGTGAACTCCAACTTTTTTCTTAGTTTAATCCTGGATAGTACATGGTTGTTGTACAATAATGTTTTATTAGCAAATTAAATTTACTTTTCCAATGTTTATTTTTTTACTATTGGATCAAGACTTGTCCTTATGAGTACATGTAATGTTTCACTTCTCAATTTTGAATTCAAGGCTGTATAAGTGTTTATGTTAAGAATTGGAAATGAAATTTGAAAACAAGATTTAGAATTACTTATATACTTTGACTTCTTTCCAGCTCAAGAAGAAAGAGTTGAAGGAGGAATTTGTAAAAGCTAGATAAAACCACAAACACAAAATGACATATGCTATTTATATGTGGATAAAATATTTTGGTTAATTACTTAAATATTTAAGTTTTTGTTTGGATGATTAACCAAAATCAAAATTTTAGCTTTGTAGGATTGGAGGTAGATTGAATATGTAGTGGATCAAACAATGAACAAAAATATTGAAGTGACTTATTAACTTGAAACATAATCTACAATATGAACAATTTCATTTAGCCAAGTTTATCAAAGTTTTCCTAAAGTTCTTGTAGTGCATTGTTTTTGAAAGTGTGGTGTACATAGGTTGGATCATCGCTAGCGATGCATCAATGATTGCACCAGATAAGATGCTTGAGTCATCAAATTGTGTTCTGCAGGACTAGATAAGAGGGTGGAGAGGCTTATCTTTCATGCCACACAGAGCATACAGTTGAAGGAGGGTGGTGATTAGAGAGGGGCACAGACCTACTTTTTACAACAATTCACACACAAAATATATGGCATGAGAAATGGTGTGGTTTTGTCTGGAGCTGTCATTGGCTGAAATGTTGGTTCCAACATTACATAATCAGCAAAAAAGGAATTTGATTGAGAACAAATTGTAATATTTTCAAGGTTTTTACTCAGTATTAGTGTAAATGCATTTTGGTATGAAAAGCAAATATGAACCATACAGGTAAGGTTAGATACCTAAATCTTAGAATGATTGACCAAATTCTGAGTTGTACTTTAGCAGCACCATGGACCACATGCTAAAGCAAAACTTTATGAAAGTGTATATCTGTACACGTTGGATTTTGTGCGGTATTAATAAATTCAGCATGATGTTGTCTGTAATAACAGCCTCATGATCATGTAATTATATTATTCTGTAATTATTCCTCAAGAAGTAGATGAAAGAAGACATTTCTTTGAAGTCTTTGTTGATCAATCCTCGTTTTGAGGTAAAGGTGAATGTACAAAGGATATTTACATGTTTTGTTTAATTTTCTTGTGGTTAATTGGTAATGGCTGCTAGAGCTTTGCTTTGTAATGGTATCATTTTATTGTTTACAGGTGGAGGTGAATGGCTAAACCTGATGATTATCTCATGATTTAATGTTGTAAAAGTCTTCTGTAATAGTGTTCATCTCTTGATACTTGTCTTCATTATTTACTAACGGTTTATTGAGCAAATACAATAAGAGTTCAAATAGATTAATAGTAACAAGAGGGGTTCAAATTAAAAAGCCGATATTCTAGAGGGAAAACAACAGTTACATTGTTTTAGTTTTGATTGGGGGTACATTATGATATATAATTGTATCAAATTTGTTTGGTAAAGAGGATACTTCATGTCAAATATTATATTAAGTTGAAGAAATTGCAAAATTGTTAGTTTGGATAAGTTTTTAAGTTATGGTAAATTCACAGTGTAACGAGAGGCAATAGTATGCATGATACTTCAAAACAAAGTAATATTTATCATTTTATGTGGATGATAGCATTCAAATATAGTCTTTAGATATGATGACTTAATTTTCAAATGTTAGTTATGAAATTTTTGATCCAAAAATAGAGGATTTTCAAAAGGATGAATGAAATATTTGTAATTCTTATTTCCCTGAGGTCCTTAGATGCTGAGCAATGAATATGACCTTCTATAAACTTTGTTTGTTTTGCTCTTGATTTTGTCCCTTTTAGTCCCATACCAGGTGTGGTGAGGAATTTTGAGGCACGTTTAGCAAGTCATGATTCAAGTGTTGTATGTATGTACCTGTACAGGTGTGCTATAGTTATTGACAAAAATCAAGTTTCCTGTTCATTGGAATTTCTTTTTTCAATGTATGATATATTACATGTTTTCTTGTAACGTTAATGCAGATACTTGTTTCTGCTAGCTACATTACTGGCCTTTCCTCATAGATTTAACAAATAGAAAATGAAACATTCACTGTAAAGTGTGAAATGAAGTTGTATCATATTACTTTCCTAAAACAATTTTAAAAAGATAATTCAGATTTATTTTTCTGCAGGATTTTGGACAGAATATGTGTCCCATTCCCAATGGCAAACCCTTTGTTATCTTATGAATCTGGACTCATTAAAATTACCAAAATAATATTAGCAGAACAAAGTGACAATACATATTTGATGTTGCTGTCCATTGAACAATTTTTGAAAGTCAACCTTAGGTTCAGATGGTTTTTTATTTGCTTTGACAAAATATGTGAGCAACACATCACAGAGATACACAAATGTATTATGATTAAATTTTAAATTTGAACATATTTCTTTTTTGTTTCTTTTCACAATTTGAGATATTATATTCCTATCCAAAGTCCAAGGCCATTGGCCCCATTCAGAAAGTATTGAAGAATAAACCTGAACAAATGTTCCTGTAATTTTATCTTTACTAATTGCTGCCTTTCCGGTTTCAAGATTTCAGCTGACTCTCCTGTAATCAAGAGCTGAGATCATATACGGCAATACTTATTTTCTTGAATCTGTATTTATTCCTATTAATTGCTGTTTAGAATGAGGATTTTTATAAGACTTATATACAGCATTGCTTGTTATATTTGA